TTTGGGTATAAATTTATGTTTTTTATATTTTGTTTATAAATAGTAATAACTTTTTAATTTTTTTAATAATTTTATGACCTTTTATCTTTATGAATCTATTCCAAACACCCACTTAGCCTCCGTTTGGAAAGTAGGTTAACTTTTTAGCTTTTTTGGCCATTTTAGTATAGGCTAAAAAAATTTTGAAATTTTTTTTTTGACTTTTTTGTGAGAGAAGAATATAATGATTATGGGTTGGATGTGATATTTTATTTTTTGTGGCTAAAATAGCGAAAAAAGTCTCATTTAGCTCTTGCCAAACGGAGCCTTAAAAAGAATATGAGTTAGATGGAATAAAATACTTAAAAAATAATTTATCAAAAAATGACCCATAAAAATATAAAGCTAACCGTATTTTTCCTAATTTTTAAGATATTTTTTTAAAAATTTGGATAAATTACATAAACCCCCCCAAGGTTTGTTGAGATTACAAAAACCTCTTTTGAGGTTTCGATTACACCAACCCTTCTGCTTCACTAACCTGCAACAAATACCTCCTTGTACTGTTTCTATTACTAACTGTACGGGGAGGAAATAATTATCCTCGTATAATCCTGTTGACCAAGTCCACGCTCCTCCGTACGACGTCGCTTTGTCACCTGAAAACACAAACGTGAGCTAGCCGGCGGGTGTGTGCCGGAAACCTCTCCGATGCCTAAGTCAGAAAACTTGACAAATAGACAAAGCTTTAAGTTCTCAGGAAGGTTGTGTTCAATTACCTCCTCCAAGGTGATGTTTGTGGGCTTCTATAAGTTTCCCGTGGCACAATCCTGGTAGGACTTGTATTTCTCCATGTAGAGTCCTCCTAGGATTCATACTCCAAAGGATAATGCTTATCCTTTTACACCCTCCCCCACTGCTTAAACCAAGTGGGATGGTTTTCTCCATGGCCGAACTTCCATGTGACCGAAGTAATATTGGCTATGCCGAGCCACAGAGGGCCGAACTGTCCTTAGCTCGGTCTTCTCCTCTAACTCCTTACCTCGGCTGCCCCTGTTCAACCTTGGTGTGATTAGATCAAACTTCCAAGTAGCAAGTTCTGATCGACCTAACCATAGTATGTCACGACCGGACTAAATGCAAGGTCGGACTTACTTCAAACTGCCACCGGACTAATTCTGAAACTGGCCTAACCAGTACATACTGCGACCGGACTAACTCTGAGACCGGCCTAACTCCAAGTTGCCTCCGGACCGGAGTAGCTTTACTCTTCCTTGGGCCGAAGCAACTATCCCTTCTTGAGCCGGAGTAACTACACTTCTCCTGGGCTGGAGTAACATTGCAGCCTTTTTTACCTAGCTCTTGGCAATTTGGGCCACAAGGCCCATTACATAGCTCGGCCCAATTTTTACCAAAAATTACCCTCTCAATTGCCCCTTAATTCCATCTGCTCAGCATGATTGGGATTACCAGTCCTTCAGCCGAGCTAAAGTTATTAAGCCTTTCCAGCCGAGCCAAAAACCCTTCAGCTTCTCCAGCCAAGCTGAAGTTATTAAGCCTTTCCAGCCGAGCTAATAACCCTTTAGCTTCTCCAGCCGAGCTAAAAACCCTTTAGCTTCTCCAGCCGAGCTAAAAACCCTTTAGCTTCTCCAGCCAAGCTAACTTTACTTCGGGCTTTTCTTTATCCGGTCAAAACGTCTCTTCAATCACGACTGTAACGCTTCCCTTTCCAATGACACGTGGCAGATTCTGGTAGGCTGAGGACGGCTGTCACGCCGTCTTTCGTACTTCGCGAATTTTGAATAGTCCCGCCCAAATTTTGGGTTTTTCTAACAAAAACAATCCCTGAGGCTAGGGTCCCTTCACTCTTGCTATTCCTTCATCTTCTCTCTCCGCTCTCTTGCTGTTCGTGTTCTTCTTTTTACTGCAACAGATTTTCAACTTCAGTCCCTTCTTCTTTAACCTGGTAAGCAAATCCACTTTCCCTTCATGTATTTTTGCTTTCACATTTGTTTTATGCATCTGTATATCTTGTTTCGTATGCTTTTTGCAAACATTTTGTCCATTTCTGGTTTGCTTCTGTATTTTCATGAAAAAAAAACCGTAGAACTTGTACGTGTATGAACTGTTTATGTAGAAAAACCAGTCTTAGATCCAAAATCACATAGCAACCGAACTAGGATCCTGTTTGCCCCAAATACGTAGATCTTTGTAGTCAATAACCGAACTAGAGCTTGTAAGTTTCAAAGGGTTACCAGAGCCTGACTCACTTTAGCCGAAAGGAATATATTTTTGTCACTGATGATTCTAAATATTTTGATATCATCTGGTGAGGAGTATGTTTTCGTGGCCTATAATTTTTAATATTTTGAGATCTTTTGGTGGAAAAATTATTTTGTCACAAATTTTAGAGGGAGAATTTTGAAATATTGAGCAGGTATTGAAAAAAAAATTGGCTACTAATTTCCCCCCCTTTTTCGTGTTTTTATTAGTTTTCCTCCCATTTCTCTCTAAAAACACACTCCCTCTTCAGCTCCTCACTATCCACTGTGCAGACCACTCCGTCAAGCCCCTCGACGAGTGGCAACTCAAGCCCTCCCTCACCGACTTCCTCAAATCCTTATTCTCCCTCGCCGTTCCCGAAGACGACATCGTCGTTCGCAGATTCAAGGACCTCAAGAAGCGCAAGCGCGATGATCCTGTTGCTCACGGCGCTCTCTTTATCCGTGACCTAGGGTTTCTATCCAAGTTTTCCAGATCGGAAATTCTTCATGGTATAGATGGAGAAGACGATGTTAAGGAACTCGAGAAGAAGTTTCTGGACTGGGGAAGATCGGTTGTTGGTAAGACCGACGGGATTGAGTTGAATCTTGAAGGTGTTAAGTTTAGATTGATTGCTTCAGTTCCAGAATCAGATGATTTTGGAATGACGAAAGAGTGGGAAGAGCTTAATGCGTTTGGTAATCGAGGTTTGCTCTTGATTCTATCCATAGTTTTGAATTTTTGAAGCTTATTGGTCTTGCTGTCTACAATAATGGATTCAGTAATCTAACTCAATATTTTTTCTTCTAAATGCTTAATAATTTTGCGAGAACTACTGGTAATAATAGGTGTATGTATGTGTTGTTTGGTTGTAGTATATTCAAGAGGTGGGAGCCTGATACAATTGTGTTTAAAGGTGTTCCACGACGCTGGTTTGCTGAGCCAAGAGTTTCGTCTAAGTCTTCAATGCTGGTCACTCACACGATTTTTTCTACATTTGGGAAGATAAGGTGTGTGTTAATGTCATGGTTTTTGCTATTTTTCTATTTCCCTGATGCATTGCAGTTCCATAATATTGTTTTTGTTGAATTTGTGGGGTGGTTGTGTTTTTTTGAGGCTTCTGACATTGAGTTCTATTTTTATGCTCCAATGCACACATCATATTATCTTGAATATGGTTGTATTGAAATTTCTTAATTTACTTGTCATCTCATTAATTTGATGAAACCATTTCCTCTTGAAACTTCTCACGATTGAAGATTTTAGATAGCAACAAACATTTGGAGTCTCAATGTTCCTAGTTCGGGTATTGTTGGTGAGCAATTCATTGAGAAGATTCGTAGGGTAAGAGGTATGATATAGATATTGGATCTGCATTTTTTTTGATTAATCTGTTTGAGGGAAATCTCGTTTCTTGCTATTTTAATATTTTAAAAGGACATCCTTCAGAAACAACCAAAAGAAAAAAGGGAAAAAAAGGGCATGTAAAATTGATGGCATAGTTAATAGTTCATGTTGACCCTTCTGTTTCCCTTTATTTTATTTTATTTTTTTTGCTTTTACTTTCCTTTACAAATTGTAAAGTTTACTCATGATGCAAACTGTAAGATCATCCATAAATAGTAAAATTAAAGCAGCGAGAATGTTTGGAAATTGGTTGGTTTCAAGATGGACACACTTGGAACTTTTCTTAATCACATTTTGGTATTGGTTGTCACTGTTTATGCTTATTTTTAAGTTAGTATGGATATGGTTAGCTTTCGATATGATTTATCAAGTATTATAGGTTAAAGAGTATTTTGATAATTTCAAATTTTCTTGACATGGAAGGTAAGGGCATCCATGGGTCATACATAGGTGAAGTTGTGTATTGGGCCATTCTATATTCTTTCTATCTATTTTAGATGAGTTTTAAAAGTCGAAATTCTAGTCAAATCGAAAATATGTTTCAATTTATTGATGGATGATTTAGAAATGCTTCAGAAACCACAACAATAAAATGTAATGACAAATTAGTGTTGGTAATGAGGAAGACATGGTGGACTAAGGAAGGTGTGAAAAAATGTACGGTAGCATGGTGTTTTGCAGAACAAGTATAGAGTGGATGAAAGGATAGGCCATCGTGCCATCATGTCCGTGGATGTAGTACATATATCTTGTCTATTTGCTTTATTTTTTTATTTTTTTTTCACGATTTTGCATAATAGTTTTGACAACCAAACAGAGCTTTAAGATCAAAAGAAAATATTGCGACAGTGATTATCAGTGATTAAACAGTGATTATCATAAGCTACAATGTTCGTTAACCATGGCTACAATGTTGAGGTATGTTTTTGGCCTTCCTTTTACTTTTGGTACCAACAACCATCATAATTAAATTAAGGGTTAATTACACTAATATTCCCTATAGTTTGGGACTTGTGTTACTTTGGTCCATGACTTTTCAATTGTGACACATTTGACCCTAGATTTTGAATCTTGTTCCAAATAAGGACAATTGAAAATATCATTAGATTTTCAAGGGTAAAATCGTCAATTTGATAAAATATAAACTAATTTGACAAAAATAAATGTCACAAAAATATTTTTAATTTTTAAAAAATTATTTTTAACCACCAATGATAAAATTATGTAAAATTAATAAAAATTACATGATTAATTTTTTAAAATTAATTTTACATGATCATCATCCAAACACATAATAAAAATTAATTTGGTAAAAAAAATAAATAAATGTCTAAAAGTTTTATCAATTTTACATAATTTTATTTTTAGTAAGTAGAAATAATTTTTAAAAATTAAAAAATATTTGTTTGACATTTATTTTTGTCAAATTAGTTTATATTTTATCAAATTGACAATTTTACCCTTGAAAAATCTAATAATATTTTCAATGTTCTTATTTTGGAACAAGATTCAAAATTCAGGGCCAATATGTCACACTTGAAAATCAAGGACCAAAGTGATACAAGCCGCAAACTGATAGGGGCCTATTTGTGTAATTTGCCCTCAAATTAAAATTGAAAGTTATTTTCACGAAGCATAAGATTGACTGTTTTTCTAGCATTTTGGGTATGAATTACACTCGTGACTAGATATCCATACCTTCAATGCCTATGACAACTTGGACATTCATTTGTCTTTTCAATAAGTTTATTGATTTTTTTTTAATTATTTGGAATTTGAAAGCATTACTTAATCTATTTGACCAACAGGGTCCAGATGACTCCCGCGG